GTCAGTGGGACCCGTCAGGAATCACACGCCTTCCTCAGCTCGGCCAGCTGCTCTGTGGGGGTCATCAGCGGGGCTAGAGGGTCAGTGGGACCCGTCAGGAATCACGCGCCTTCCTCAGCTCGGCCAACTGCTCTGTGGGGGTCATCAGCGGGGTCAGAGGGTCAGTGGGACCCGTCAGGAATCACACGCCTTCCTCAGCTCGGCCAGCTGCTCTGTGGGGGTCATCAGCGGGGCTAGAGGGTCAGTGGGACCCGTCAGGAATCTCGCGCCTTCCTCAGCTCGGTCAGCTGGTCTGGTGGGGGTCATCAGCGGGGTCAGAGGGTCAGTGAGATCCGTCAGGAATCACACGCCTTCCTCAGCTCGGCCAGCTGGTCTGTGGGGGTCATCAGCGGGGTCAGAGGGTCAGTGGGACCTCAGGAATCACACGCCTTCCTCAGCTCGGCCAGCTGGTCTGTGGGGGTCATCAGCAGGGCTAGAGGGTCAGTGGGACCCGTCAGGAATCACACGCCTTCCCTCCAGCTCGGCCAGCTGGTCTGTGGGGGTCATCAGCGGGGTCAGAGGGTCAGTGGGACCCGTCAGGCATCAGTGGGACCGCCACCGTGGGATATAAGGACACGACCTGTACCAACGAAGCGATTGAAGGGTTCCACCTCAGCTGGCGTTCAACGGGCAGTGACCTACAACGGAGACCGACTCTTTGACAAAAGTGGCTAGGTAATGCTTAAACGCTTACCTGAAGCCGTAGGAAGTGAGCGCGTGCAGAATACACAGCCGCATAGTGGAACTTTGTCGAAGCGACAGGTTGATATGCAGTTTTTAATTCGCATTAATGCAACAGCGATTTGAGCCGGCTTCAAACGCAAACTGGTCTTGTTCTGAGCACCAACTTAAAAAGCTGTTCACAAATACGTCACTCAGTTTTTGGCCATTTTAGCCCTCACTTCCCTATGGTTTACGCACTGGTTGGGCTGGTCACCACTCCCCCTCCCTCCCACCTGGTGCGCTGTTTTTAGCTCACTGTCTCAAGAGAGCAACCTCCGGATGGCCCCTGCTTGGGCTGAAGATGTGAAACGGACAAGGAACGTCCACGTCATGACAAGAAGCCAATCGCATCCGATCTAACGGTGTTATTTTAGAGATTTTAGCATGTTTGCAACCACATTTGAGCGTAGCGTTACACTACATCAGGCTTTCCCTCCCTTTGTTGTTACGCATCCATTACGCCCTACCGAATGCGTTCTCTCCTCCTTACGTAACTTAATTTATGGAGGGCCGCTCATCGCGCATGATTACACTATCAGTTATTGAGAGTTTCAGGACGCTTTAACTATTCCAGTCATTCGACATGCTTGCATAGAACTGGGCTGGGCACATTGACCGGTGCGGTGGGTAGTGGCTGACTTTGGGAGAAGACGGCTTTAATTCTCCACTCGCTCAGGGGGATACAACAGCGCATGCACTAACAAACAAACGCGTACAAACACAGATATCCATGCTTAATGTGCATACACCCAACTTATGTATATATATATATATATATATATATATATATATATATATATATATATATATCTCTCTCTCTCTCTCTCTCTCTCTCTCTCTCTCTCTCTCTCTCTCTCTCTCTCTCCCTCTCTCTCTCTCTCTCTCTCTCTCTCTCTCTCTCTCTCTCTCTCTCTCTCTCTCTCTCTCTCTATCTCTCTCTCTCTCTCTCTCTCTCTCTCTCTGCACTATGCAGCAACCCACGCACTCACACAAGGACACCGACCCAGTGAAGGTCGCCGCAGTGAGACACTGACCGAGAGTGAATGAGCCGGTCTGTCCGCCCTCCTCGTAGAAGTATCTGTCGCCGGCCTTCTGGCGAGCGAACTGGTCGGTGATGATGCAGCGGAAAGTGGGGCCTACCAGCGCGTCATCCACCGGGCGCTCGGACACACCGCCGATGAACAGGTCCACGTCGTCCACCGACTTGTACAGCAACGCGAACTTGCTTAGGGTCTGCGACAACGGAACCGGTGGGGTCAGGGAACACTGCGAGCCTGTTCAGGTTCTGAGACAGTGGGACCTGTGGGGTCAGGGGATCACCGTGAACTTGCTCAGGGTTTGCGGCGACAGTGCCCTCAGGGTCAGGGGATCACCGCGAACTTGCTCAGGGTTTGCGGCGACGGTGCCTTCAGGGTCAGGGGATCACCGCGAACTTGCTCAGGGTTTGCGGCGACAGTGCCTTCGGGGTTAGGGGATCACCGCGAACTTGCTCAGGGTTTGCGGCGACAGTGCCTTCAGGGTCAGGGATCACCGAAAACTTGCTCAGGTTTTGCGGCGACGGTGCCTTCAGGGTCAGGGGATCACCGCGAACTTGCTCAGGGTTTGCGGCGACGGTGCCTTCAGGGTCAGGGGATCACCGCGAACTTGCTCAGGGTTTGCGGCGACAGTGCCTTCGGGGTCAGGGGGTCACCGCCCGAACGCAGCGCCGGAAGACGGTCAGTCGCGTGCCGCTGTGGCTGTGGTATACTAGAGTCAACCATATGGCCAGTCAGTGACATGGTGACGAGCGCGTATTGCCAGAGTGACCGTTAAGATGCGTGATGATCAGGAGGTACGGCAGCGCGTGACACGAGTGTCGCGTCAGGGCAGGAGCATCCCATCCACTCACTGCCACCACACTGCTCGCTGCATCGAACCCTTTCAGCTTGTGACCCCCATCTCGCCAATCCTGAAAACTTGCATGTCTCGCACGGCATGCAAGGTATCAGGACAGAGAAGCCTCTCGGTCAGCAGGTTTGTTAAGGAGCGGAGTCACACCACGAAACCGTTTCGACACTGACCGCATGTCGTGGACATCCCACCGGTGCTGTGTCCGATTGCGTCACGTCACGCCCGTGCCGGTGACCTCTGTGACCCCCACGAGACCTCGAGGCTCGTGCCAGGCGAGTCGTACAGCACGCCGAGTCACCGAGCCGAGTCGCCGAGTCACACCTGTGAGTCGATTTCGCTGGCGAAGTCGCTCCAGGTGGTGGCTTTCTTCAGGCCGCAGATCTCGCGCAGTTTGTTGTAGGGTGGGATGCCGTGGTCTCGACCCCGCTGGATGTTGAGCGCTATCAGGTCCATCCCGAACAGGCCCTCAAACTGAAACAGGTGGCCCAGCAGCTGCCGGCCCCAGCACGGATCAGCGGCGTCAGAGTTAGAGTCAGCTACCGTCATCTACGCCGATCTCTAACGCGATGCGCATCGACGTCTGGTCAGGGGCCAATAATTCTACTCAGCGAGTCCTGTGATGTTGACCTCTAGCAAAGCATTCCACCCGCTCCAAACTGTGAGCGGTGATAAAGACTTGACCAGTTTCATTCTTCGTGAAAGTAACGCAAACGAACGTCATGGGCTGACTCTCTGGCCCCCTTGAATGTCATGGGCTGACTCTCTGGCCCCCTTGTGTAGAGAAGACAACGCCGGACATGTGCAGACCAGCAGCGCTATAGACCATCAGTCGGCCGGGAGTCGGGACTGACTGGGGCGACAGTCGCGCAGCACCTCCTGCGTAAGGTTGACTCAGTGCATCCCCGTAGCTCACCTCCTTGCTGAAGGCGTTGTCGAACTTCATGCTGGGCATCTCGAGCAGGCCGCGCAGGAGGCCACTGAAGGCGTCGCGGCGGTACAGGTCGAAGGGGGTGAACTGGGTTCGGTGCAGCGGAGTCACCTTCTCCTTGCTGCCGAACTGGGTCATCGAACTGGCGAACGCACAACAGCCGGTCAGTGGTTGGGTGGTGAAAGGTGTTCATTAGCTCATTAGAAAAAGCATATAGAAAGGTGCTCATAAGCAAAATATTTGTGTTCAAGTTCTGTCTCGCGGTTTTCCCTGGCCCGGACTTCGGTCACATGTTAAGTGGCCCGTGACGTCAGCGGCTGTCAATATAGACATTAACACGTCAAATATAATTCAACAGATATGGGAGCGACAGAGAACACGCGGAGGTGGTTGCTGGGGCCCCGGCTCCTGGTAAGCCATCCGTGCCGGCGGACTAGTGCGGGGGCCCTGTCGGACCAGACGGAGCCATCCCGCATATCAGTCGGCCACAGTCCAAAGCCAACAACACCAGTCACGAAGGTACCGAGGCGTTTTACTGCACTTGGACAGGGCACCACATTGTTTCCCGTGCCTGCTGCCCGCTGCGTCCCTGTTGCTACTGCCCACTACGTCCCTGCGTCTGCTGCCCGCTGCGTCCCTGTGTCTGCTGCCCGCTGCTTCCCTGTGTTTGCTGCCCGCTGTGTTCCGGTATCAGCCGCCCGCTGCGTCCCTGTGTCTGCTGCCCGTTGCGTCCCTGTGTCTGCTGCCCGCTGCGTCCCTGTGTCTGCTGCCCGCTGCGCCCGTTTGCATCTTGCGCCCGCTCTATTTCACTGCTGTGAAATCTGCGTTCGGTCAGCTAGCAAGCTAGCTAACGCGGCGTCCTGGGTCGACTGATGCTTTGGCCCAACGCATTCAACGCATCCACCGATCCGTTCGTTTGGAGCCGATAGCAAGAGCGCTGCAGACTTGAGAACTGACACGGACGTAGAGCGTGCTCACATGATGTTGTCTGGGATCAGGGTGTGGCCCATCCTGAACGCGGCCGTCGAAAACTCGTTCGTGATCCCGGCACTGATTTCGGGATCGTAGTTGTTGGTGAAGCCGCTCTTCAGTGGCGACAGCAGCTTCGTCTTCTGCATGTGACGGCGTCCTGCCGGTGACACAGTGAGTTCAGTGGACCTGCCCCGGACACTGCTAGAGCTAGCCACAGCCTAGATGTCGGGAGATGATGACGGACCTGTACGCCATCCTGATTCAGCTAATTATCAAGTCAACAAAAGGGAAAGATGACCTAGACTGGCTTTGGAAAATATGCTGGATTTACTTTAGAAAGTTACTTTGAAAAAAGATGTGCTGAATACTTTGCTTTGGTCTTATCATATACAGAAGGCCCGCAGAGATAAACTGGCCCGGCACGTGACCGCCGATCTGCAGTCCCTCACTGGCGCTCGGGTCGATGTCGGCCCGCCCATCCCGTCGCCTACCAACCACTACGGAACTCGACCTCTGTCTACCAATCGCAATGGTGCTCGCCCTCTGTCCACCAATCCCTATGATGCCCACCCACTACCCACCAATCACGATGGGCAGGAACTCATTGTACGTGATGTGCTGCATCTCGGCGGCCACGATCCGACGTGCCTCCTGGAAGAGCCGCTCGTCGTCCCAGCGCGGGTTCACCGCGTGCAAAGCTCGCGCCAGCCGGTTGTGCTCGCGCATCCACAGCGTGTGCATCACCACCAGGTCCACCTGCTCGTTGACTCGCTCATCGCCTGCGGGCGCGATCGGGGTTCAGCGTCGGGGTAGCGCGGACTCGGCGGTCAGGTAGCCAGAGACGGGGCCGGGGCGGGTGGAGCGGGGGGGGGGGGGGTCACGCAGGTCGCAGTGCGACACTGGCAGCTGTCAGCTCATGACCGGATGGGTCGCGTGCTCCGTTCGGTCTGCAGAACCCGTGCTACCTGATCCTGTAATTCCCGGCGAGCGGATAGTATTTTCCAGCCAATCTGAAGATGAATCGCAGAGGCGACCATGGCTCAGACGGGTCTGCAGACCTTCCTCAGCTGGACTTTTACGAATCCGTCGTGCTTTGAACTTTACAGCTTAGAGGTTGTGACGACATCATCTGAATTTAGCCTCTAATATCCCTGGGGTAACGGCACTGTGTAGGTTAGTTTAGGTTAGGTTAGGTGCTGTATTAGCAATCATATACCTCTTGACATGATTTCACCATCGCGCGCCTTTGTTGAGGAAAGCCTCGAAAAAGTGTGCTGATTGTTACAACTAACACCTAGCACTTCAGTATCCCATGACCACATCAAGTGTGCGTCACACCTCCACGTGCATTGTGAACCCACCCAAAACGTATCGCAAAAGGAAGTACCAATGTATGCCCTTTGACGCTGACGAGCGCTGCCGTGAGGGAAGCGCACTTGCGGCTCTCGGTGCTTGACCTCTCACCTGCCTTGAAGCAGGTCCACTCCGGCATCTTGACGTCCTTGCAGGTGAAGGAGTCGGCCGGCAGGTACGGATGGCCGTGCACTGGCCGCGACTTGAGCAGGCCGCCGCTGTGTTCGCGCAGCTCCTCGGCCTCGTGCTCCGAGGAGCCGTATACGTTGCTGGCGTCCACGTAGGCTGTGATCTGGTTCATCTGGGGGAGCGCAGGTGTGGGGTTGAGCTGGTGTGATGCAGGACAAGCGGCACTGGCGCAGACAAGGCTCGGCCATTCTGGAAAGTGGGTGTGACCGCACAAAGAAGGGGTGCGCATCAGCCTGATGACTAGATATACAAGATTTAAACGTCATTTCTTGTTCCACACAACTAACCACAATCGAATTACATCCGTTAGCAACGCGCTGCCCAGTGGCTAGTAGTGGATGCGATTTCCCATATCTGCATCATATCGCGGTATGCACCGATTTGTTTGCATCTTGTTTGTTTGCATTTCAAAAAATTCCTGGATGTAAGCTTGCTTAAGCTTGCTTAGGTGCGCCGTGGAGCATATGGGGATTCAGCGGGTCGTTTCCATACACCAGCAGTGTACGTGGCAAGTCGCCTGCGTTCATTTAAAGTGAGTGTTTCACATTTGAAGATATTGAAGCAAGCATCAGATATGCTAACTTATAACTATTTGTAGAACTTTAAGTAAAAAAGACTGCTCTAAGTAACATAATTTCTTTGTTCGGTAAATGAGCTCCTCGATACGTTATTGTATGATTGCGTCAGTGTGATTGTCAAGGTGACCTTGCCCACATTGATTGAGAGCCAATTGACGGCCGTTATCGAGACAACGTACTCAAGAACGCCAGATGTGAATGACTCGACCATAACATTTTTATTGGCCTTGATTGGCGCAATTTGTATGGAATGGCAGCATTTGAATGGCGTTCTTGTGACGGTATGAACGCCAAGGTGACATTGAAATACTCTCCCCGAAGAAGTTTTCCCGTCTTCGCGGGCGTATAGCTCAGGAACTAGATTTAGGTCTAAGAACCGCGGTGCTGTGAGCTGCACCGAATGATCTTCAGGATGCCTATTTCAGTTCAAACCCTCTAGAAATGCGGACCACTCCCCTTAAACTAGCCGACAGAACAGGATGCATGATTCATCCTATGCGACGCAGTGCTCGGTGACAATTGATGATTAAAATGCAGCAGCTGGCACAAAACTTCCAAAAAGGTGAGAGCGTCCTTCGCGGGGACTGTGGATGCGGAGACGGGGACCAATCTGATAGCTCGGGAACGCTGGACGGTGCGCTCTTCATGGGCCGCGGACGCGGTCGAGCGCGATGATGAAGTGCGAACCCGATAGCCCCCCCCCCCCACCCCCCCCGGATCCCCCCTCCCCTCCCCCCCGGGAACCACGCACGACAGTGCCAAGGAGAAGGCTGTAACTCATGGGCTGAAAATGCGTGCGATTACCCAAGGCTGCTCTGATGAAAAGTCAGGATACAGCAGTCCTGGGTGCATGGGGCCGTTTATAAGGTTCATTGCGCAACTATCAATCGAATCATCTTGTTCGTTGACACGTCTCAAACACACATTTTCATGCTTGTTTACTTCTTGGAGGGCTAAAGAGATTACATTAAGGCCACATCGCCAACAAATGGTTAGTTATCTGCCTGCATTGGCTGCATCAACAGCACGGAAAACTATAGACCTCACGGGAGATTCCATTCGCTAGATGATCCGCTAACTAGAGATTCTCTCTACTTGAGAATCATTCGGTCCTGGGGTTTAACTATTGCATTCCCCGCCTTAACAGAGGAGGGCCTGTCCTCACGTAACCTCCACAAGGGAGGACCTGTCCCCACGCGGCCTCCTCTTCGAGGAAGGGCCTGTCCTCTCGTGGTCTGCTCTATAAGAGAAACGCTGAATAGATGGTCCGACGTTGGTTCACAATGAGGGTGGCCGTGCATCAGAGAGCCCATCACCAACAGGAGGGTGGCCGTGTACCAGAGGGCACACCGCCGACAGGAAGGTTGCCTTGCATTAGAGGGCCCACCACCAACAGGAAGGTGGCCGTGCATCAGAGGACCCACCGCCGACAGGAAGGTGGCCGTGCATCAGAGGACCCACCGCCCACAGGAAGGTGGCCGTGCATCAGAGGACCCACCGCCCACAGGAAGGTGGCCGTGCATCAGAGGACCCACCGCCCACAGGAAGGTGGCCGTGCACAATAGGGCCGACAGGAGAGTGACCGTGCACCAGAGGGCAGCCCCAGCGCTGAGTCACGGGCCAGACCGGTCCGGACGGATGACGTCAGCTCGCGCCGGGCAGACGGCGGCCAGGGTGAAGCACACGGCTTCCCCGGATCAGCGGCGCCATCCCAGCTGCCTGCGGCCGCGTCTCACACTGCCTGACGCCGCCGATGCGTAGGGCATCATATCCCATTGTGTGTGGTGACAAAGGCGTCTGCGGTCCCATCTGGGGAATTATGGTTGGAATGCTGGACATCACTCCACGTGACAGATCACTCGAGAATTCGATTGAAAAGGCCTGTTTCCTGTTACCACCAAAGCCTGGACAGGGACGATGCTTTGTGCGAAATTCCATAGTCGGACCGGACATTGCCGTTCTATGGTGTGTTCTTACGAAAACAACCGACTGGCCTCTGCAGATATCCAGCCTCGCCTCTGCAATCTAAACGACTATGAGAAGAATTGGTTTGCTTCTCCTTGAGGTGTACTTCTGGATACTTTTCAGTGACGTTGGCAGTGGTACACAGGGCTCGGTCAATTCTCATAACAGAATATAATCCGCCAGCACCTTGTGTGCCAACGTTGACGCCTACAGTAATCTGCCCATCCTTCGCGAAACGTGAAAAGAAAACTATACGCGATTTGCTCAAGAGCTCAAGAAAGCTCTAAATCAACCGAGCCGCGTCTTCGGTCCACCTAAGCTGCGTGAAGTTCCAACCAGCGCTCGTCCTCCAAGCAGGTCAACGGTGAGCGAGTGGGGCGACCTGTGGACCGCAGCGACCAGGGATTACCACCGGACTGCGGCCGGCCGTCGGGGGAGGCGCCTTTGTCTGCCTGGCCGTGTGCCGCAGCGGGGCGCCGTTCAGTGACACCAGCCGCCTGTCTAACCGTGACTTCCGCGGTCCGGCGACGGCCGCCGCGCGGAGCCCCCCCAGTGCTGAAGGTCGAGTCGCTTCCGGAGGGGGGCGGCGCCTCCTCGCACCGCCTGGTGCCCGGCACAGGGCGACGGGGCGGGGGAGGGCAGCAGCGCAGGCTGACTCAGCAGGCAGGCTTTCGTGACGACTGAAGGCGGAATCCTCGGCGGTCTTTCATGAGGTCTGGGTTCGTGGTAAATGCCTGGCTTTCTTCCAGCCCTGTCCTTCACATCGTTTTTTACCGGTTGAATCAAGCAACGTATGTGGGAGATGCGAGTGTTAAACATTGTAGTGGGATCATGTCCAAACGTGGACCGCATCCTTAAAGGTAAGAGTTCATCTGGAACCAGTACAGAAATAGACCGGCTGTCAGAAAGCCCCTGTGAGGCATCTCCAACGGAGGCTTGGCACTGCAGATCGCTCCCTAATTCGATGGCGGATTTCATTCACAAAGCCAATTGGAAGTTTCAGGAAGTCTTAGCTCGAACTTTAAGCAGTGATGTTGTTTTTTAAATGTAATGCCCGTAGATTTCTCTTTTTCAGTCATCTGTTCACATGATTTTGTTGTACTTAAGATGTAGTTGGCTTTTCTCGTTGCGTTGTGCATTCGCATATACGATACACCAATGCACGGAACGTGACACACGGAGGACGTTTATCATCGTTTCTCCGAAATACGTGAGCTTATGCACTTATTCTTGGAGACAGGATTTTCCTGAGGAGAGTGGAAGGTGAAACTCAGCGAGAATACATTATAATGATCTTAGCTCTCTGTCAGGTGTCATCTATGGTGAAAAATGAAAGTATTTGTGTCTAAACACACACACACACGCACACACACACACACACACACACACACACACACACACACACACACACACACACACACACACACGCGCGCGCGCCCGCGCACCTCTTGGCTGTATTTGTGTTTGGCGATCCATTGCATGCTAGACTACGAACGATCTTCAGATAATCTCGAAAGATCACGCTCGTCGTGCTTTTTTCAGTTAAATATTTAGACGACGGAATCATCTCCTCCATATCATGCCGGATTTCTCTTATTGTCGACTGTACTCTTCACGATGTGACATTTCTGCAGACTTCCGACCTAATCACGGGCCGTATGAGAAGCTACTAACAGGCCAAATCAAAACGTGAGTGTAAGTGCACCAAAGTGGCAGTACCTCTGTCATTCTGTACATGTTCAACAAGCACCCCAAAGTGGCGGTACCTCTGTCATTCTGGACATGTTCAACTAGTGCACCAAAGTGGCAGTACCTATGTCATTCTGTACATGTTCAACAAGCGCGCCAAAATGGTAGTGCTTCTGTCCTTCTATACATGTTGTATGTACCTTGTGCACTTCTGTATATGCTAAATACATGCTTCTTGGAATCCCAATTTCACCCCAGCCCGCAGCGAAGCCTTGAAACTCTGACAATGAAAAAAAACACGTAAATCGGCCCGCACCAGGCTCATCGCGTTTGGGCTGCGCGCCCGCCGCCCCCTTCACTCCCCCCCCCCTCAGCGGCGGTCGGTGTCACGATGGGTGATCTGTTCGCAGGGGCCCGTGTAGCAGCTGAACCGGGACGCCTACACGGAGCGCATCAGCTACACACAGCGCTCTCCGCCCCTCGGTGTCACGAGGGCTCACCTGTTCGCGGGGGCCCATGTAGCAGCTGGGCCGGGGCGCGTACACGGAGCGCACCAGCTCCATGCAGCGCTCTCCGAACGGCGCGTAGAACGGGTCGTTGGGCGGCATCTCGATGGGGTAGCACTCGGAATGGATCTCGCCCTCGCGCACCTTCACGCCGTATCGGCAGCAGCTGATCTTCACGCCGTCGTCAGCTGGCGGCCGCCAGAGGTCAGATGTCAGGCCGGGGTGCACGGGTGCATGGATGTCCCTGCTCGCTCGGACAGCATACGAACTGTTCGCTGCGCAGGAATGACGGGTTGTTGACCCCGGGGACGCATATGGCACGCTGGTATCGGTGCTATCAGCCCGTGAAACCTGTTCTTGTTCTTAAAGTTTCCACCACTTCTCACATCTGACAAAATGCACCGATCCGGGGTCGCCGACACCGGCAACGAAACCTGCTTCGATCGGTTACTACGCCCGTTAATTGTAAAGGAGCGGTGAAACCAGAACTGATTATTCACGCGTCATGATTCCGCTAGACTCACGCCATGCACTTGAAATGAGTTAGCTGCCCAACTCTCGCTAATGCGTGGGACACTGAGCACTCAGACCGGCCAGGGCGTCGCCGGACGGGGCCAGTCGTAGCTCATGTCTGGGGCCGGGTGTGCGCGCCGCCTTACTCTCGATCATGGGCGTGTGAGTGACGTCATGGTCCAGGAACTGGCCGAACTGCATGAGCAGCATGCTGTGCTGGGCGTTCTCGGCGTGGTGGGTAGGGATGACGATCATGCTGACGACGCGGGCCGACGGCAGCTCGCTGCCGTCCTGCGCTCGCCGCGGCTCGAACAGACCTGCAGCAGGTCCAGGCGCTCGGCTCGAGCCACAGCAGCGACACTGCGCACAGCAAGACGCAGAGCAAGAAACACAGCAAGAAGCAGAACGTAGCATAGCGCTCGATCGGTACTCAGTACAGCACACGGTCAGACCAATACAGAGCACCACTCGGACGATAACGCATTTGGAGTAGCGTTAATAATCACACCAAATGCGAACATACGAACATAGTGGAGTCATTGGGAATAATTACAGACAAGGCAGGGATGCAAACATTTCATATGGAAGCTTGTGCCATTACATTTTGGGCTGAATTTCGCGACCGGATCGGAAAGTGCTCGCGGATGTTGGGCGTCCTCCACCTAAGAGTATCACGAGGACGGAAATACCCAAGGCAACCATGACCTCAACCAAGATTGTTCGTCATCCCGCCTGACTGGCGAAGTCCCAGCTCAGCTCGCTGTCCACACTGTCACGATGAGCTCCGAGCTTTTCCCGGAACCCGCGAACCCCAGAGCTCTGCCCCGTACCAGCCGACCATAGAGCCCCACCCCGTACCACCCGACACCGCAGCCCCGCCCCGCACCAGCCGACGTCAGAGTACCACCCCGTACCAGCCGACACTACAGCTCCACCCCGTACCAGCCGACCCTAGAGCCCCACCCCGTACCACCCGACACTGCAGCCCCACCCCGTACCAGCCGACACTGCAGCCCCACCCCGTACCAGCCGACACTACAGCCCCGCCCCGTACCAGCCGACACTGCAGCCCCACTCCGTACCAGCCGACGTCAGAGACCCACCCCGTACCAGCCGACGTCGGAGTCCCACCCCGTACCAGCCGACACCAGAACCCCATCCCGTACCAGCCAACACTACAGCCCCACCCGGGACCAGCCGACACCAGAGCCCCACCCGGGACCAGCCGACACCAGAGCCCCGCCCGGGACCAGCCGACACCAGAGCCCCACCCCGTACCACCCGACACTGCAGCCCCACCACGTACCAGCCGACACTACAGCCCCCCCCCGTACCAGCCGACACTCCAGCCCCACTCCGTACCAGCCGACGTCAGAGTCCCACCCCGTACCAGCCGACGTCAGAGTCCCACCCCGTACCAGCCGACACCAGAACCCCATCCCGTACCAGCCGACACTACAGCCCCACCCGGGACCAGCCGACACCAGAGCCCCACCCGGGACCAGCCGACACCAGAGCCCCGCCCGGGACCAGCCGACACCAGAGCCCCGCCCGGGACCAGGGACACCAGAGCCCCGCCTGTGACCAGCCGACATCAGAGTCCCGCCCGGGGCCAGGGACACCAGAGCCCCGCCCGGGACCAGGGACACCAGAGCCCCGCCCGGGACCAGCCGACACCAGAGCCCCGCCCGGGACCAGGGACACCAGAGCCCCGCCCGGGACCAGCCGACACCAGAACCCCGCCCGGGACCAGCCGACACCAGAACCCCGCCCGGGACCTGCCGACACCAGAGACCCGCCTGGGACCCACCGTCGGCGTAGGCGGCCATGCCGATGCGCTGCAGCGCGGTCTCGGCGCTGCCCCAGAGGCCGTGGCGCAGGTTGTTGCATCTGCCGTCGAGGGTGCGGTAGCGCGAGTCGCGGCAGCGCGGCGCCCGCTGGCACGTCTCCTCCAGGCTGCTGTTGAGCAGGCTGACTCGCACCAGGCCGGCCACGGACTGCAACGGCGACAGGTGCTGGCTGCGGGCACACCGCGACACGCTCACAGGGCGCTCACAGGGACCGGGAGGCGCCACAGACGGTGTGGCCGAAGGATCAGACGGATCCAGTCAGTGTCAACGCGCTTACAGGGTGCCGACGGGGGCCGCGAGGCGTCACACACGGCGTGGCCGGAGGGTCGGACGGGTCCAGTCAGAGTGTCGACACGCCCAACTCCAGAGGAGGCCGGCTGTTAACTGTACATTATGTGCACGACTATGGCAGTGGTTGTGACTATATCTGGCTGTGACGAGTCTGCCGTGACAGGAAGGTGGGAAGGTATTTCTTCTGTGTATGGCTGGCTTAACCGAGATGTCATTTACTTTCTCTTAGAAATAGCTCAATGATAAGTTAAACATTGTGTATAAAATAAGCTTCCAAGCAACTAGTTCACTTACCACATTGCCCTTTAGTTAAACGTCCACTCTAGCCGTGCTGGCACTGTCCCATGTCCCATTGGGAAACGCCCCGTGCTTCACGCATAGCTTTCTCAGCACTGTCTACGTCTCCATGCACCCGCATGACGCACACATCACGGCTGGCCGCACGCCGTTGATATTTTTACACCCAGCAAAAGCCGCCTGCAGGTGCTAGCAAATAACGGCGGTTCACACCGGATGCGCACCGGGTTTGGCATCAACCGCAGAAGCATTTCGTGAGCGGTGATGCATGCGATAGGTTTCCGCAACAATATGACTATCCCAAGGCAACCCCCATTCCACTGAAGTAAACGCACGTTAGAACAGGTGATCAAGCAATTTGAAGTGCAATGACTGTACCGATTCTTACGTTTTCAACAAGTTCATCTCTATCCGGTTCTCGTTAATGCACTCCGTCAACATTTCAATTGTCGTTTTTTACGACAATGTGACCGAAAGTTTTCCACCGCTGGCTTTGCGATCCGTCACCGTTAACCACAGCTTACTGCAGAGACCCTGACCCACCAGGGGTAAGCCAGGCTCAGCGGGCACAATTTTCACCGAAGCCGTCACGCCGTGCCAAGCCGTGGCTCGCACTCTTCTGCTCCAGCCTGGCGTTCTCGTTCACTTGCCAACTGACCGCACCAATGACGAGTCCCACCCGATTTGAGTGAGTTCCAGGATCCGCGTGAGCTTCCGGACCCGTACGTACGTAAGCGCTACACGTTAACTAGGGTACCCGACTCTTTACCCACGGAGCTGAAGGAATGGCAGGCCTTGATCCTGTCGGGTTACATGCAGCCTTCAATGCTGTGAGCGTTTAAATCATTCACTCCGTTAGCAGTGTCTTGAAAATCAAAGATGCGATGAAATATCGGAAAGCGAACATCGATCTCTAAATCATCCCATGCTAACACCCGGCACGCATGGTTTGCGCGTACCACAGCGTCTGGCCTCAGTGGAGTGTTATTTGGATGGGGTCACCGGAAAACAACGTCCGATGACGAAAGCAAGATAATTCGTCTGAAACTGATGAGAACTCTTTAAAGCTTCGGGGAGCGCACTTGTGGCTGCCGTGGAAAGACGGGGACACCGGGGACAATTCTAGGTGTGGTATGACGTCGTTTGGGATAAGTATGGCGGGCTGAGTATCTGTAACAAGCCCAAACATAGGCTGAAATGTTGCTCCGCAGAAATAATTCTAAAGCTGAAAAGTGCCGAAGATCCCGGACAAAGCGTCATGAGAGGTTCTCGATGAGAGCACCTGCACTTTATCTCCGTGCAAGTGTGGCTATGCCAGGTGGGCATGAACACAAAGAGCGTGGTGGATGGAAAGCTGAAGCTGCCGCCTCATTCCCGCAAGTATGACAACGTGTGGGATAAGGCGCTGTGGTCTCAGATGCTGGAAGTGAAGCGGTTTAGCTGCGCATCTCGGAAACTAGAGGTACGGGTTCCACTCTTCGCGGTGCTCGTCATTCCGCCAGGGTGAGGAGTAGGCGACGCCATATGGCTGCAGCAGCTGGTCGCGTCGTAAAGGTCCATTGACGACGAAGGAGTTATGTTCTGTTCTATGTAAGCATGCCCAGCATACTGTCAAAATTCATATCGCTATGCTCTAAGGCTAGCGGTAGGGTGCTCACTTTACCCGACAGAAGCTTACAGAGCGGTGCCAACGTCGAGACCTTAGGGTGTTCTCCGCTCGTTTCAATTAGCTAATGCAAGTTATGAACGGTTTGTGTTCCCTAGTGATGGCATCCATCCATCCATCAACGCCTGACGTGCGGAAGCTTGGCAGTCCCGGTAAATGCTAGGGGCCCCGTAGAGCATCAGTCACAGCCACTCTAGCTGGAATGGATCGAGGCTGCTGAGCTCCTGCATGCGTTTTATCTGCATGGTTAGATTGTGAAACGCGTATGATTGTTGCGTGGATTTTGCAGTACAGCACAGTGTGTGATTTTCTTCTCTTGCGAATGACAAAGCGCTTTTCACCACGCTAGTGCCCTGGTAGCCCGTATGGCAATACGGTGTAACGACCGGCTTTGGTGAAAACTACAGCAATGCGCCATTAATAAGCAAATAAATCCAGGTACAAGCGCAACAGATCTAACAGACCGATCGAAATTTTTTGTCCACTATAGCCTTCTTAAAAATATTGGTTGTTTTTATCGACTGTGAAAAACAAGCAAGCAGTGCGCATGTTAAAATACGGGCCTGTCGTTTTTGCGGTCTGCACTGTTTTTACAAGTGTGGTCGCGGACGTGAATGAAAATTAACATCTGGAGTGAATCATCTAGTCTATGCACCAGATCATTTACTCCAGATGTTCACACCAGCTGATATATCACCAGCTGATGTATCCGCTGATCAAGTGAAAGGAGAAACATATTCGGTACATGGTGCGAAAAACAACATAAACTTATCCCGCAAAGCCCTCCTGCATTTGGATATTTTATAGATATACAATAATTCCGAGTGCTTCATCCAGTCTCTGAGCCCAAAAGCATCCCTGTGGAGTCCCCCCCCCCCCCATGGATTGCCGGAAACGCGCGATGAAATACGCATTGTTATGACTGGAATGACGAGTAAAGCCACATGCCTAAGCGCATCTCGTAAGTCATACATGACGTCTAACGTTTCTGGAAATGCCAGACAGTAGCCGAGCCGGTCCGTCATGAGGGCGCCCCCTCCCCCCCCCCCGCCCCCGCCTAGCTGCCGCGCGCGACACGGGCCTGCTATGCCTGCTATGCTGTTCTTGCAAAACACCTCCAGCACGTGCCACGCGCCGGGGCTTGGACGACTGGTCACAAAGTTTTAATCTGCTGGCTCGGCCTCTGCACACTATCGCCATTGTGCGTTATGCAACTGAACTTTTCGCGCCGTGAGTTTCTATAATTCACAGATGCGTGAGCTCATGCAAGAATCAGACACACAAAGGTGAACTGTGAACGGAAGTGATTACTGAATGGGGGTACGGTCATCTAACTTCACTGGGTATCGATGCAACATTTCACAGCATCCGTGGACCACGAACGCACGCGTCCTGTGTAATCTTAGCGACCAGCGTGGTGTCGCTCACACGTTCTCGTTTTATGTGATGCATTCTCAACAGACGATTGGACAGCTTTAGTCACCTCATTTAAAACTTTGATGGTCTACAGCTTTAGAAGTAAGGCAAGAAAGAAGGATGCTTCTTTTATACTAGGCAAATTTATTACCTCAGCAGATTGTAGCCCTCAACAAATCGGAATCAAGCATGGCAGCTGAATGGCTGAACTGGCTTGCCGGTCCCGCCCACTGCGTGTAATGCAGTGTCCCCCTCCCCTCCCCCCCCCCCCCCCCCCCACCACTGCTATCTCACCCATCTCGCACATAACCTCAAAATAAGCCATACCGGTCCGTTAAGCGAAGCCGCCCCTAACCTCTGCCACACCGCGTTCAAGGCTACCGACTTGTGAGTCCGACTACTACCGCCACATACCCCGTTGCAAAATCACCGGTATACCATTGCTCACATAAGGTGAATCGGAATTCAGAGATAATAATGCAACAGCTGGACCCGCTTTGATGCAAGATTAAAACCTATGTTTATGGCTTTGTTTGCGCCCGACCAGGCATTGTCCGACAGCATGGCTTTTAAATTGTACGCCGCATGGACCTAGAAATTGCTCACTCAAATTCATGGCTAAGTTTAACCCTGGAAACCAAACGTCAGCGACATTTAAGAGCTGACGGTGCGTGACTTGGTGTCCTGGTAACCGATATGTCCAGTCTCTGTGTATGGCCATGGTATGTAGGCGTGTTCAGCACTCTCATAAATTGGAAGTTCATCCGCGGACCGCGTAGTTTCTACGTTTATACTGCTCACGAACATTCGCGTACGCACTTTTATCCGAACCGGCTTTATCCATTACGAGCCTTCGCGTACGTTCAGTTGTTTACGAGCAATAGCGTTCGTTCTTCATGCATGTGTATTTTTTCCAAGCGAACTTCTGTCCTGACGAACTTGTCATTACGAACTTTTTACATACGTACTTACTTTATACCGCATAGATGTTTGCTTACGAACTTTTGCGTACGTTCTTCCGCCATACGAGCTTTTTACCTTAGGTACATCCGCTCAAGAGCAATTGTGTACGTACTTTATGCATACGTACTTTTCCACGGGTACTTCGTTCTAAAACTATGGCGATCATCTCCGCCCGCCTCTGACCCCTCTTCAGTACTCACTCCATGGCGACCATCTCCGCCCGCCTCTGACCCCTCTTCAGTACTCACTCCATGGCGATCATCTTGCTGGCAGAGAGGGCGATCTCGGCCGAGCCCATCTTCTTCAGCGCCGTCCGCGTGGGCTGCTGCAGCTTGCGGTGGCTGAAAGCCGGCTCGGTGGGCGACACCACTATGTCGTTGCGGATGAGCTCGATGTCCTGCTGGCGACGGCGCTGCTGCGAGGAGGCGCCGAAGCGCGCCGCCTTCTCCATCTCCTGCTGGTCGACAGTCACTGTCACCGGCGGCGGCTCCACGTAGACGATGAGACCCGGACCTGCCGAGGAGGGCGCAGTGAGCGGCCGGGCGTCCGCGCCACGCCGGGCGTTGTCGCTCCGCTGTGTGCAGTCATACACGGAGCTACCGAGAGGTAGCAACTACTCCAGGCGCACGTGCAGTCTGGAGGTACGTGCAACACTCGTGCAGAGTCTGGACGCTGTCGTTGTTCTTTCAACTTTTTCGCCCTTGATGTGAACAGGCCATCACGGATGTAAAGTCAGGGTTCTCGGAAAAGCATGTCATCTTTACAACAACAGACCAGAATGCTTTGTTCGGCATCCTGTGCAGCGTGGGTCACTTTCCTGCAGACCGTAGCATCTGTAGAGAAAAGTGGTCGTATGTTACCATCCAAGTTCACCCGGCCCTCTTGGATATGTACTGAGGAGGCACAGCGTAATGATCGGCTCAAATAAGCATTCATGTTTCGCAAGAAATCAATGTTTCGTAGTATCGTTAACAACGGTGGTCGCGATTGACCATCGAGTATCGACGAACTTGTCGAGAAGTCGGCTGGGATCCCCTCGGTCACCAGTGGTTGTACCCACAAACGCCTTCGTCATACATTAAGCCTCTTGATGCGCAGAGGTTTCTCGGTGAGCTTCATGAAATCCTTGGAACCCTACTGGCCACAACAAAAAAGGGAGGCGCAAAGGCGGTAAACACGGCCACTGGTGATTACGACCAATACTTCCAGAGCTTTCACTCGATCTACCTTGTTTAATTTTGGGTTTGAACTCTGGGTTCAGGCCATTGCCTCCCGGAGTTTGTTGCTTGATATACTTGATAACCGACAAGGGAGCCCTGTCCCAGACTACAGAACCTAAAGTCGACACACTCCGTTGAACACGTTAAACACTGCATAGTTTCATTGTCATGTGCTATACCCAGCCCACTCACGCATCCAAACTTCACTCAGGGCAGTCCACCTGTTTGGCCGTATGAATGTGCGGTGATATTTAGAAGTGAGTGCGTTGTCTGTTTCGTTTTACGAAACCAGTCCCAGGAGATTCGCCTCCACTTGAAGTGCAAATTCTGAAATCTTTCAGTTCGTCCGGCTAGTCTCGTGGAAAGTCTTAGTGGCCCATAATGCTGTCACACGGGATTCCTACCCAGCTCACCTTCGACGATCAGTTGCTGGATGACCAGCAATATAACGGTCGGGAAGGGCGACCCATTCTCTGGCGCGCGGGCTCAGTGTCAACGGACCAAAGTTCATCGGCACGAACATGTTATGGCGGGACTTTTCGACCACGTCATGGTCTAGTGTATAAATATCTCCCTTTCATATACCCACCAAATGCAAGGCAACCGCACTGCATCTAATCCGGCACTCCCCTGCTATCCAGCCGTTGTGTGATGGGGAATGCCAGTCCGTGCCGAGCAGCCCGGGGTCCGGAGCCCGCACCCAGTCCGGCCACGCGCCACACGGCACCTCTCCAGTGGCGCCTGCAACGCCGCAAGCCGGGTGAAGCTCCACTGTCAGCAGAGTTTGCCCGACGCCGAGGGAGCCGCCTGCCGCCGACGGCCGTCCCGGCGCCGGCCTGGTGCAGGTTGAGCGACGATCGGGGGGCGACGGTTGCACAAGGTGCCGCGCCGCGCCGCGCTCCGTGCCTGCTCTTGAACTTGGTCTTTCACTCGGGTTGGGCAAGCCGCTTGTTGTGAGCATTGCTATGCAGATAAGCCTTCAGTGCAGCGGCGTGCACGCGCCGCCCCTCAGCGGCGCCAGGGAGGCGGCGTGCCGCGCGTGCCATCGCAGGCCTCTGGCCTTGACCTAATCTGACCCGCCCGCCAGACGCCAGGGTGTCGCAGAGTGCAGGCGCCGGTCGCGCCGGAGATGTGGCCTCCTCTGTGAAGCCGAGCACGCGGATGGGATCGCACGACTGCCATCCGGCCCGATGAGTCCGAGCATCGCTGAGGGGCGTCAAAGAACATCAGCTCTCGGACGTGCTGACGGCGCAGCCAGACACGTGGATGGTGATCTCCACACGGACTGACGGCGACCGCCGCGCCCCTCCCCCTCCACCATACACGCGTGCTGGTGGTGACCTCCACATGCATCAACGGCGAACGGCCTCTACACGTGCTGACAGAGACCTCGAGAACGTGGTGGCAGTGACCTTCACATGCGGTGGCGGTGGCCTCCACACATGCCGGCGATGACGTCCTCACATGTTGACGGATGTCTCTACAGATGCTGACGGTGAATTCCACAAATGCCAAAGGCAATCACCACACGCGTTGACGGTGACCTCCATAGATGCTGATGGTGGCTTCAGCCCGTGCTTGACCATCAAGCGCACTGGTGGTGACCCCCACATATGTGTGGATTATATCACCCGAGACCATTACTACAGTGCCCCCCCCCCCCCCCCCCCCCGGTTAATCGGTGGGCACGGTAGAAGCGCTCTGTGTGACCCTGCACCGCTGCTAACGCTGTGTTCTCTCACGGTGATATAAACTGCTAACCGCATAGCGCTCGGGAGCGGCCGGCACGGCGTGCTGTTCGCGCCTGTCTGCCGATGTCCGAGACCCGGCTTTCCCGCTTCGAAGGCGGCGCTCTGGCGGCGCTGCAGCAGGACGGGCGGACCCAAAGGCGGCGCTCTGGCGGCGCTGCAGCAGGACGGGCGGACCCAAAGGCGGCGCTCTGGCGGCGCTGCAGCAGGACGGGCGGACCCAAAGGCGGCGCTCTGGTGGCGCTGCAGCCGGACGGGCGGACCCAAAGGCGGCGCTCTGGCGGCGCTGCAGCAGGACGGGCGGACCCAAAGGCGGCGCTCTGGCGGCGCTGCAGCAGGACGGGCGGGACCCAAAGGCGGGCGCTCTGGCGGCGCTGCAGCAGGACGGGCGGACCCAAAGGCGGCGCTCTGGCGGCGCTGCAGCAGGACGGGCGGACCCAAAGGCGGCGCTCTGGCGGCGCTGCAGCAGGACGGGCGGACCCAAAGGCGGCGCTCTGGCGGCGCTGCAGCAGGACGGACGGACCCAAAGGCGGCGGCTGAGCGCCAGACGGGACGGCACAACTCCGACAGCTTCTGTGCACTTCGACCTACCTTTTCCAGTCCTAATCTTTCCTGACTGGTTTGCACGCATGCGTTCATGGAATTACGTGCCAGACAGCTTACTGCGCGCCCCCGGAACCCACCACCCAATAAGCGCGGCTTTATCTCACTGAATGAGTTTATTTTCGGCCTTATGTCAAGAGGGGGCTGTGGAGCGACCTTTCAGAATTGCGGAGCGAGGCCTGACGAGTCTGCGACACTGCCGCGCTGACCCCGGCTGACCTTCTTGGATCACGTGACCCGATGTCGGCTGGCTTCTCTATACTGCGTAGGCCTTCAGTGAGCACGTTTACATCCGCAATTGTCTTAATCTATTGCGCTTTAAAAAAAAAAATGCTGGTTGCAATGCCACGCTGATGGTTGATAAATGATCCCGGCATGTCGACTGACTACTGTGCATCGTAATCTTATTACAATTTAAAAGGGAATAACGGAAAACCGGACCAGAGAATGCAATTTGAGCAATTCGCCTGCAATTATCTGATTTCTTTATCGTCAACGTCGCTTTATGTAATGTTCAACCAATGCGTCATCCATGCATTGGGCAAGCGTCCACCGAAGGGCCAATGTCATTACTGTATCTCGGTCTCGATCTTTACGATCCAATCTCTGGCCAGGGCATCAGACCAGTCACACAAAGGCCTGCCAAAGACGAGGGGCAATACAGGTCCGTGACCGTGCGACTCCTTTCCCTGCCAATGTAACGGCTCCATCGCTGCACACTGCCCTGCACTGCTCATTGACCCCGTTCCCGTCCCCCGGCAGGGGCGTTTCCAGCGGGCGGGAAAACTGGGCAGGAGTCCTCCCCAGATACCTCCAAAGATGCAGCTGCAGTTATGATTTGCCTCTCAAATGTTATGCAACCGTCCACATGAAGGTTGTCAAAAATACATTTTTTAATCTAATGCTGGTAAATTTTAGACTTTGTGTAACATTTCAGTCGCATGCCCAAGCTTATGCATCAGGAAAAACTGTAAATATTCGTCCATATGGAAACCAGCACGTTTGCTTCCTTTCGAAATATTTCATATCATGAGAACGGGCAAAGTCCTCTTTCTCATCCCATGCGCGAGCTGACGGGCACGCCTCCCAGTAGAGAATACCGCCCCCCCCCCCCCCCCCCACCCCTGGTCAGCCCACCGACCTTTGGGCGTAGCGGCCGACTGGGCGGAGCCGAGCGGGCAGCAGACGCCGCGGGTCACACACGGCGTGTTGCACGGACTCTTGAGGGCCTGCGCCACGTCCGCGTAGTTGCCCTCCAGGTCCTGGATCCGCCTGCCGAGGTACAGCACGTTAACACCTGCCAAAAGTGGGCTACCCACATTAAAGGCGGCCAAAGCTCTAGATTGAGCGGCATTAGGGTGCACCTGCACAATTGGCCGGAGCTGGAGCCGGCCAGGAGTCTAGAGGCGGCTGAAAAGTTGAGTTGGCCCAGTCTAAAGTCTGCCCAGAGTAAGGGTCAACCTGCAGAGTTGGACGGAGTTACAGTAAGCACGGAGTTTGAGCCGGGGCGGCACATCGAGATGCGGGCATGCGTGACCTCTGCCCCGTAAACGTCCCCAGCTGGTGTCTCACATCCGACGCTAATCGCCTCTGTTCAAGGGAAACCCTTTCCCACAGTGTTTGTGGGACAGGCCCTTTTATGGAGCCACGTCTGCGAGTGGCTGTGGCACCTGAGGCGGCGGCCGTTAGTAGGTAGGTTACCGTTTGGAGGTTGGTTTTGTAACGCTCGAGGAGCGATACTGCAGCTCTTTGTAGGTCTTATTGGCGTTAAGGGGAATTGTGTCACCTCTTTCACAATCAACTTAAACGTAACCACCAAGATCAAAGCGAAGAGCACCCAGATTCGAAATGAAAAGGGTTTCTCTGGAAGCTGTCCTTAAGACACATATTTTCCATTTTAGTTGGGGCTTCGCATTAAATATCGTATCCGTTTTATATTGCATAAATTCTTCGATCATTATCATAAAACATAATTTCACAAGATTTGCACAAGATTTGCTTTGGCTATGTTCACCTACATCCAAAATTTGTGTCTGCTGACTGCGATCAAATGGCTTTGCCATGAACCCTATAAAAGCTTATTGCAACCAGCGTTGTCTTTTAAACCGCGGTTCAAACGTTACTCTTCAGAGGCACTCTTATCGACTTAAAAACATAAAATGAATTTCGTTTGGCTCATAGGGCCAAAACCAGACCGCAATGCACTGCAGCAAATGGGTACAATCCTTTGAAAACTCCGCTCTATGACTGGCTTCTGGCCGGCGCGCGGACAGAAGCTGTCATGTCTGATGTGAAGCAGCGCTGCGTACCGCTCGGATCAGATTTTCATACTCGAACCTTGGTCAACATGGTTCGCTTATTTTATTTTTGGGTGACCGGGGCGCACTTTTCGCATTATGTTTTGCTATAAATAGTCTCGAGAACTCATCGCTAGTGTTCGGATGACAGTGTTAAAGTGCAGCACTGACCTTCAATCTCCTTTCACCAGGTGGTGCCTTAGGTATTCCTCTGATTCACATTTCGTATTGCTGTACTTGATGCAACAGCTGACATATCATTTGACGGCAACTTTTACTGCAGTTAGTGGTTAAGCTGGGGGGGGGGAGGCTACCAGATCAACAAGCGCGCTAGACTGATGAGCGCGACGACAGCGGCGGCTGAGTGGTGCTGTGGTGTAACTTACTTGCACACGCCGAGCACGCCGTTGAAAGTGGTGCATTTGCCCAGCGCCACGGGGGCCGGCTGAAAGCCGCCGATGTTACGCTTGCGCAGCTGTCCGGCGCATGAGACCACCAGTACTGCCAGCACGCTCACTGCGATCGACCTGCGGAGAGACAGGCATGCGGTCACGGCACGGCACGGCACGGCACGGCATCCCAGCACAGCACGTGCAGCCTTCCCAGCACCGCGGCCTGCGGACGGCAGTCTTAGAAAACGGAGACGGTTCAAGCCAGGGCAGCCTTTTGCATAGGCGGCAGTCACAGAGGGCGGGCAGGGTTCATCCCGGCACCGCACGTGTTACAGACAGCGGTCCCGGAGAACGGAGCCGTCCTGTCCAGCGCGGCACGCTTCACACATTGGACAGCACTGCATCAAGTCCAATGGACAGCACGTGTCGTCAGCGCAGCCCATTATTTTCACAGACACGGGCTCCACCACACGGGGGTGGCCCCCCACCATTTGCGGACCTCAACACATCATGCCTCAAGCGTTGCATGGAAAGCAACCATGTTAAACCTGGATGTCTCTCCCCTCCATCCCTACGAAAATCAGCGGAAACCGTTCTGGGATCTGGTGGGAGCACATGGGACCTGGAAACCATTAAAGCACCCGTAGGAGCAGCTGTGATCCGCACAGCGCGTCAACGGCCTCGACAGGCACATGGAATCAGTGGGCAAGTTGCCACCTCAGGACGCGTCCCACACGGTGGGGTTCCCAGCTTCCGGTCCGGTTTGCCCCGTCCTCCGGCCTCCCCGCCCTCCCGTCCGCCCGGTTTCCCTTCCCCAGCCGCCACAGCGCTGTGCCCCGCGCAGTTAGCCGTCACGGATTCAAACGTCACCCTCCCGCTCCCAGCCGGCCCTCCGCAGTCACGCAGCCGCCGTAGTCTGACGCCATCGGTTGGCCACCGTCTGACGTCACTAGTTGGCCGTCACGGAACCGGCAGTATGACGTCAGCGCTTGACGGGCGCCGGCAAACGGCCGCTCTGACGCGACGCACGCGTGGCATTGTAATCCGGGAATGAGCTGGTGGGGCACGCAGACTTGAGCGCCGGTCGCACCCGTCTGCTGCAGCAATCAGGATGTGATGGGCGGGTTTGGCGCGCGTGGTGGCCGCAGGTGATCGTTATGCCTCGGCAGTAAATGGCGGGTCGTGAGATCCGGTGTACTCATGTAGCTCAGTCTGAGTCCGGTTTAACTGTCGGCTTTCCTCACGACAAACTATCGAGAGATGACGAGATGACCTCATCCGATGTGTTTGGTGGCGACAACGAGAGGCGCCCGGTAGACAGTCTCAGCTCTCTGAAGACCCGTGGACGGACTCAGCCCTCTGAAGACCCGTGGACAACTTCAACCCTTTGCAGACTCTCCGAAGACCCGTGGAAAACCTCAGCCCTCTGAAGCCCCGTGGACAACTTCAACCCTTTGCAGACTCTCCGAAGACCCGTGGAAAACCTCAGCCCTCTGAAGACCCGTGGACAACTTCAACCCTTTGCAGACTCTCCGAAGACCCGTGGAAAACCTCAGCCCTCTGAACACTCGTGGATAACCTCGGCCTTCTCAAGACCCGTGGAAAACCTCAGCCCTCTGAACACTCGTGGATAACCTCGGCCTTCTCAAGACCCGTGGAAAACCTCAGCCCTCTGAACACTCGTGTATAACCTCGGCCTTCTCAAGACCCATGGACAACCTCAGCCCTCTGAACACTCGTGTATAACCTCGGCCTTCTCAAGACCCATGGACAACCTCAGCCCTCTCAATACCCGTCGACAGCCTCAGCTCTCTGAAGACTCGTCGACAGCCTCAGCCCTCTGAATACCCGTGCAAAACCTCGCAGCCTCAGCCCTCTAAACACCTGTGCACAGCTTCAGCCCTCTGGGGACTCTCCGAAAACAATCCGTGGGCAACCCCAGTCCTCTGAAGACCCGTGGGCAACCCCAGTCCTCTGAAGACCCGTGGGCAACCCCAGTCCTCTGAAGACCCGTGGGCAACCCCAGTCCTCTGAAGACCCGTGGGCAACCCCAGTCCTCTGAAAACCCGTGGGCAACCCCAGTCCTCTGAAGACCCGTGGGCACCCCAGTCCTTGAAGACCCGTGGGCAACCCCAGTCCTCTGAAGACCCGTGGGCAACCCCCAGTCTCTGAAGACCCGTGGGGCAACTCCAGTCCTCTGAAGACCCGTGGGCAACCCAGTCCTCTGAAGACCCGTGGGCAACCCCAGTCCTTCTGAAGACCCGTGGGCAACCCCAGTCCTCTGAAAACCGTGGGGCAACCCCAGTCCTCTGAAGACCCGTGGGCAAACCCCAGTCCTCTGAAGACCCGTGGGCAACCCCAGTCCTCTGAAGACCCGTGGGCAACCCCAGTCCTCTGAGACCCGTGGGCAACCCCAGTCCTCTGAAGACCCGTGGGCAACCCCAGTTCCTCTGAAGACCCGTGGGCAAACCCCAGTCCTCTGAAGACCCGTGGGGCAGACCCAGTCCCTCTGAGACCCGTGGACAACCCCAGTCCTCTGAAGACCCGTGGGCAACCCCAGTCCTCTGAAGACCCGTGGACAACCCCAGTCCTCTGAAGACCCGTGGGCAACCCCAGTCCTCTGAAGACCCGTGGGCAACCCCAGTCCTCTGAAGACCCGTGGGCAACCCCAGTCCTCTGATGATCCGTGGGCAGCCCCAGTCCTCTGAAGACCCGTGGGCAACCCCAGTCCTCTGAAGACCCGTGGGCAAACCCCAGTCCTCTGATGATCCGTGGACAACCCCAGTCCTCTGAAGACCCGTGGGCAACACCCAGTCCTCTGAAGACCCGTGGGCAACCCAGTTCCTCTGAAGACCCGTGGAGCAACCCCAGTCCTCTGATGATCCGTGGGCCAACCCCAGTCCTTGAAGACCCGTGGACAACCCCAGTCCTCTGAAGACCCGTGGGCAACCCCAGTCCTCTGAAGACCCGTGGGCAACCCAAGTCCTCTGATGATCCGTGGGCAACCCCAGTCCTCTGAAGACCCGTGGGCAACCCCAGTCCTCTGAAGACCCGTGGGCAACCCCAGTCCTCTGATGATCCGTGGGCAACCCCAGTCCTCTGAAGACCCGTGGGCAACCCCAGTCCTCTGAAGACCCGTGGGCAACCCCAGTCCTCTGATGATCCGTGGACAACCCCAGTCATCTGATGATCCGTGGACAACCCCAGTCCTCTGAAGACCCGTGGACAACCCCAGTCCTCTGAAGACCCGTGGCCAATAGGCCTGTTGACCACGAACTGTGCCTGCTGTCGTTTTCAGCCATAAGCTGGCAGCCGGCTGCTACCCCAGGGCTGAAAACGACCTCCAATAGCTCGCTGTCCGGCCACAGCGAACAGCTGTAGGATATGTCGTCCCTATTCTCCTGCCACGAAACCGCTTTGTTAGCAAATAAGCCACTGAAACCCCTGGCTATCGTCAATCCGATTCCGCGCATGCACACATGTTTGTAGGTCCGGTCTGAAAGGCCGCATTACGAGGAGCGCCGCATGTCAGCAGACCGGCACCAGCAGGCGGCGGCGGGCTGTCCCAAGCCCGGGTCGGCCCAGCTGGTCGCCGAGGTCCCTGGTCGCGAGAGGGCGCGGTCCGAGCGCGGCTCCGACAGCCGGCCTACTGGCCCACATCCCGGCGCTGGCGGCGGCAGCCGCTCTGAAGTCGGCGGCACATCCGGCTGGTCGAGCTGCAGACGGCGGCGCCCCAGCCGGATGCCACGCCCCGTTCGGGCGGTCACGACGAGCCGCCGCCTCGGGCCACCGCCGTTCCAGCTAACCCGGCGCCGGCTGCCGTGGATTACGGCTGACAGCGGGGGAGGGCGCTTATCCGGGTGCCAGCAGCGAAAGAATGAGTGAAGCGACGCCACGTCCGGCAGCGAAGATTGGACAGTGCTGGGGAGATACGGTGTGAAAGGCACGTCCCTCGCCCGTCCGCCTCGGCCACTTAGTTCGGGCTTAAGTCGTCGCTCGCGGACACAAATTAATCACTCCAGCTTTCTCGCCAACTGGCCGCCTCCGTGAAACCTTCGCCTGAGAGCACCATCGGCATTTGCATTACGCGCCTGCACTGGCCAGCAGAGCAGCCGGGCCTCTGTTGCCAGGCAGCCACTGCTAATTGGTCCCGGTATGCAGATGGACCGTGCAGGCGCTAGCACTGGCGTTATCACACACACAATCGTGTCCGCTGCGCTTCGCTAGCACTGGCGTTATCACACACACACAATCGTGTCCGCCGCGCTTCACCCAAGCGTTACCTTCGACTTGATGCGGATGAATCGTTGCGTGCTTAGCCACATAACTGAGCGGACATGAAAATTATTCATGCTTTTAAGAGCTTCACCAATGTCATTCCACCATAAGGGTTTAAAGCTTTTCCACAGCAAACACACATTGATGCAGCCATTGGAAATGACGTTAAAGTTTTCACCTGCACAACGCCTCACCAAAGTTGGTTGAACATTAGCGTTGTTTCTCCGAGAAGACGCCCCGAGATTAGTCCCGCCCGCGAGCATGACGACACGTCCGCAAAATGCTTGTGGATTTCATCACAGATGCAGACCATCTTCTGTTTATGTACCGAAGTGACGGACCCAAATTCCACAGTTGGCCAGTATACGTGGTGACAAATAAGAGGAAGAAATGAACTAATTCCCTCGCAGGTCATCAATGCGCAAACTAACCTCAGCTGTGCCACAATGGCTATTATTTGGGCGTATTGCCTCCTGCATCCCTTTACCACTATGCGGCGCCACTGCCGCCGCCAAGCGTGCGGCCGAAGCTGCCGAGTGTCACGCCATGTGTGCGCCTGGTTGCATGTGAGCTATCTGGAGGGCAGGAATGCTTCACTGGCGTTCCGAGTGGGGACGCCTGATCACTGTTCCGCGATCATGGTCGGAGTGGGGACGGTTCGATCCCACATACACGGCTGGATCGGAAACAACGAAGTCGATCTAGATTATTCGGATTTTCCAACTTGCCCGGCTTCATCCTGGTCGTGGTTCTAAGTGGGACGTCCAGAGGCCTACAACTTACGCCGTTTGTCGGCTAGCGTAGGCACATCATTGGGCCGAGCATAACGCCGCCCGTCAAGGCCAGCCCGCATGAGC